GGGGCTTGGGCCTTCCCAGAGCCGGGCCCGGCCTGGGCCTGGTCCAGAACAGGGCAGGGCGGCGGCGGCTGTGGACTCGGGGCGCCAGGCCGCATCCTCCCCTAAGGGCGGTACTTGCCCGCCGCTGGGCTGTGCGGTTTCCCCTCTCGCGGGCCGTGATGATAGCGGGCCAGGCCTCAACTAGGGAAGGGTTCTCTCCTCTCTTTGTACAGGCTGGTCTTTCATGGTTTGAGAAATGAATACTTAATGTGCATCTAGGGAAGTTAATTCTTCTAAAAGTATACCTTAGTGAAAAGCTAACATGGATTTATTTGAGCGTTTCCTGTATTCTATACATTAAGATGGCTTTCTTCTGGCTCATTTTCTCACAGCCAGCTTTCTTATATTGTCTTTGTTTCTATTTGTGTGATAGGGTTGTCACACAAATTGTTTAACATGTATTTCTTGGGACGTTCCATAGGTATTTTCGTCTTGCAAAAATGGGTGAACCTCAGCAAGTGAGTGCCCTTCCACCACCTCCAATGCAGTATATAAAAGAATATACTGATGAAAATATCCGTAAAGGCCTGGCTCCAAAGCCGCCTCCACCTGTGAAAGACAGTTATATGATGTTTGGTAATCAGTTTCAATGTGATGATCTGATTATTCGACCCTTGGAGAGCCAGGGTATTGAACGGCTACATCCTATGCAGTTTGATCACAAGAAGGAATTAAGAAAGCTTAATATGTCTATCCTGGTCAACTTTTTGGACCTCTTGGATATCTTGATAAGGAGTCCAGGGAGTATAAAGCGAGAGGAGAAACTGGAAGACTTGAAACTGCTTTTTGTTCACGTCCATCATCTTATAAATGAGTATCGCCCTCACCAAGCTAGGGAGACACTGAGAGTCATGATGGAGGTGCAGAAACGTCAGCGTTTGGAAACAGCAGAGCGATTTCAGAAGCACTTAGAGCGAGTCGTAGAGATGATTCAGAACTGCCTGGCTTCCTTGCCTGATGATCTGCCTCATTCAGAGGGAGGACTGAGAGTGAAAACGGAACCAATGGATCCTGATGATGGCAGCAACTGTATTGGACAGAGCGAAAAGCAGAGGGAGCGTTCTGGTGGCACGAGAGATCAGGTTCTAGACAAAGATGCAGCTATGTGTAGCATTATTGATGAAATGACATGAAGAATTCAAACACTTTTTTTTTTGTTAGCTTGTCATAGTGAGGCAGAATGGATTCTGAGGGTAGATGTATTTTGGTTTGCTGTACAAGCAGACAAAACATTGTACACCTGTTGGAGGTTGTGAGTGATTAAGCAGATAAAAATGTTTAATATTTTGTGAGCTGTGTGTTTATTTGTAGAAACAAAAAAAAGTATACTTTTGTTAAATGTATCATGTGATGTGGTAGCCACAGATTAAAGAGCTTTTCCTGTTGTACTGTCATTTGTCACTTTCTTTTTTTTAGGGTATGCTTCTTTTTTAATTGCTTTATAGTGTGGAAGCAAGTAAGGGGTCTGACTGAGAGGAATTGCAGCTGACATCTCCTCCATTTCAAATAAGTGCTAGTTGTTTACAATTTCAGTGGGTCCTCTCAGAAATGTGTAATTCAATATTAAAAATAAAATTAGTGTCAAGTCTGCAAAATCCATTACTTTCTAGTTTTGTAGTATCATACCTGAACGAAAAAGAAACTAAGAATTCCTTTATTACAGCTGTAATGTGGTATAATTTGCCTTAGAGAGACACACTGTCAGGAATCGCAACAACTAAAGGAATTAAAATTAATTGGATTTCAATTTTCTTATATGTAAACCAGTCTTGAGCTTACAAAAATGCCTACTTTTTTAACACGTAGATACTTAGACTACCTTATGTTTCCTGCATAGTTAATATACATGCATGAAGTGAGTAATTTTGCAGTGCAGATGCTTTCTATTTGCCTTTTAGGTAGGCTCTGTGCCCAGCTAAGCATCTTTCTCAGGAAAGAGTCTGATTGGATAATTAGCCTTTATACTAATTGAGAACTTGCAAGTTTGAAAGAACCTGCAAGTTCCACCATCAAGTGGAAGCAATATCAGCCATGTTTAAAGAACATTTAAGTTGGATCAGTGCCCTTGCAGCAAGAGGAAGACAGTGATTTGATCATGAAGGAGTGGCTTCTTTACCGTGCCCTTCCTCTCAGGGAAATCCTACTTCTGTCTCTTTACCATGTAACACTGTACTATGTATGTTTTCTAAAATATGTATGGCAGGTAAAAACCAGGTAAACTTTATGGGTGAGGGAACTTGCACAAACTCTGTTTTTAACTGTGATGTAAAAAGCTACGTCTGTTTCATTTTCAGAAATGTTCCTTAAATAGGCAGGCAAAAGTACTTAGCTGTTGGGTGTGGTGGGGCTTGAGCTCAGTGCAGATAAAGAGATGAAATGCACTGAAGCGAGTTTTTGACTCGGAGAACATCATCTGCTATTTTATGTGCATGTGACATCATAAGTAACAATAAAGAAGTAGAAACATGGTGGGTTTGTTTTAGAAATGTAAGAATAATTTTACAAATTTGACACTTTTGTCCTTTATTTAACCACCACTGTTTCCTTCTTTCTCCCCAGACTAGGTCTAAATTATATTGCTTGTAGGTAAATAGTTGCAAGTGAGCTGAATTAATTTGGTATGTACTTCGCAAATGTTTCATGTGGAAGATACGAAGAAACATTCAGTGCCTCCTGGATAAGGGAGGTCATGCACTGTGGAACTACAGTTTGTCATAGGTGTTTTAACTTTGCCATTCAAAAATAACTGTCATAGATGCTTAATGGATTTCTGTAGATTTTTGCCTAATTTTTATGCTTTTAATAAAGTCATAGGCCTGGGTACCATAGTTTCAAAACACTGCGCAAGCTGGGTACTAGCAGCAACTAACAATTGCGATGAACTTTTGAGAAACCATTAAGGTAAACGGAGATCATGTCACTTAAAAAAATACTTAAGGTTGCTTTCACTTTCCAAAAGTTTCATGACTAATTTGTTTATTCTAGTTTTTTTTTTTCTTTGTCTAAGGCAAACCCTTAGAAAGATGTGGGAGGCTTCCTGGGCTTTTTCAGCTGAAACAATGACTTTTTTCCTCCTTTGTCAGGTCAAAGCAATGATAATTTTCCTTTTTTCTGTTACAATTTTGCTTTTGGGAAAACAACAGACTGTAGCTGCAGTGAAGGTAGTGCCTGTTAGTCTAGGGAAATGGGCATCGCGCATTTCATAGGATGATGTGACTCACTGACTAGCAAATTTGATTATAAATGTCTTCTCTACTGTGTTAATTAACCTGCTCTTGATGATGAGATAACATTTAAGTATTCTACCCCTGAAATGTTAATGTATACAATATGTGCTGGATCAGACATGCCTTGTGAAACTTGATGAGATAAAGTTAACATCAAGTGTTAAGCAGCATTTTGTTGGATGTTTGCTGTATTAAAAAAAAAAAAAAAAAGGAAAAAAAGAGGAAGGAAAAAAAAAAAGCCCGGCCCTTCTAATATGCTATCTGAACAGGCACAGGGATAACAGCAATACAGTTACTTGAAAAGTTCCAAAAGTTTCTTGATACAGAGAAGCCAAATGTGTCACCACTGGACAACAGGTGAAAGTTTGTAGCTTTGATCACCTAGGGGGAAAAGAAGAAAAGCTCTAAAATAGGCTTTAAAATAGGGCGATGAAGAAATGTTTCCAACAATGCTTTAGACTTATTTCACTATTTAATGTTTTGGTTTGGTTTTGCTTTCACAAAGTATGATCTGACTATATGCTCTGAGTCAAGGAAAAATGTGCAGCTACTTTAAGGATTGTGTGAAAAAGATCATGTTCGCATGTTTTCTACAGAAATGGTGCTCATTTCTTGCACAAACAAAAAACAGGAACTTGGAAAACAGGCATGTAGAGACTCAGAAGTGAAGTCAAGGCATTCCATGTGGTCTGTGTTTGAGGTGAAATCCAAGGCAAGCGGGTTAACTGTTGCCCTGTAGCTCTCATTCTCTTACTGTGTGACCAGAACAGCTTTCCCAGGGATGCAGACAGCACCTGAACTGTTGTATGAACGAAACAGTCTGGGTGAAGTGAGTAGTATGGACTGAGGCAGAGCTCTGGGATACAGTTCCTCATTTTCTCAGCCTATTTACTTATTTCAGAGCTCAGATGTGGCCTGTGCAGGGCGGAATCCATGTAGACCCATGCACACTGCACGTTGTTGCAGGTAACTGGCAGAAGGAACGGGTTCTGGTCTGCAGGTGGGTGTTTGTCGTGTGCTGAGCCACCCAGAGGAGTTTATCAGCTGGTGCCGTGTGCTGTCATGGCACGGCTGTGGTGAATGCGATCAGCCGCCTTCTGCCAGAGCCAGGTTGCCCTTCCTTTTCCCTTCGTGCAGAGCAGTTTCAGGATCCTGCCGTTAACGATCAGAGTTGTTCCTGTAGCAGCTATCTGCAGCTTCCTGTTTCCCCAGAAACAAGAGGAATGAAGAGGAAGCATTTTCTTAAGAGTCCTACTTCCACCCACTGCATACAAAAATCCCCCTTTCTCTCTCCTTTCAGCTCTTTCCTACAGGTATGTTGCTAGTGTTTGTCGCTTGGCTACTTCCTACTACATCCCTTGTTTTTCCTCCTTTTCACTTAAAGAAACTGTCACTTTAGTGACCCTGATCTCATGTAAGGTAGTCAGTGCCAGGCAGCTCTGTTGGTTCCGATTCTAGCTTAATCTATGTTTTTGGAAGCATTTCTGCTGTTTATTGATAAAAAGTAACTCCTTACAATTTAATGTTGTCTGTATAAACCACCGTGAAGTAGATTAGTTACTTCAGCAAAGAACATTTGTTGGCCCTTGACCAAATGCTGCAGTTCTAGTCCAAACCATATGAAAAGATAGGTGTCCTCCAGAAGCACTAGCTAATGCAGGGACAGGCGGAGTGCCCGGGGAACACCATTTCTCAAAAGCCGTATTTCAGCAACATTTTGTCAAGGCGAGCCTTGAGCCTGGGACTCGTAGCCTGGGACTGGGTTTCCACACTACTTTTAAAGTGACTTCTGTATTGTGTATGTTACTTTCTGTTGTGAAAGCCCAGATGCATACAGGATTTTTAACAGTCAGTTGATGAAAGATGGCAACTCTTTTAGGCTACAACTGTGTAACAACACGGCAGCTTTCCAATTCTGCCAAATTACAGCCTACAAAGAAAATAGCGTTTGCCTAAAGATGCTCTGGGCTGCTTCTAAGTATTAGAACTAGAAACTTATGATTAAATGCTTGAGTAATTCTTCATAGGAATCTGTTATTTTGCCAAGTCCTTTTTGTTTACCACAGTTTGTTACATATCCTATGTAATCTCTTCTCCAAATTTTATCTGCTGTGGCAAAAAAGGGTGTGGGAAGCAGCGTGGGGCAGTGGATTACTGATAGTCATGTCAGATTGATGCTGCTGACAACAGTTTCATGTGTAATCAAGCAGATCTGTTAAAAAAAAAAAAGTAAAGAGAAGTAGGTTTCTGAAGTGCTGCGAAGTATTTTAGCTTTTTGGTCAAACCACAGTCAGCAAGTGCTCAGCTGCGTGCGTTGCCAGCAGCGGGGCTCGGCTGCGCTGTGCGAGGCTAACAGCCTAACCACAGGAAAGGCAATCCGGATTAGACTAAAGGGCATTCTCTGCTGCCTCTCAAGATGACGTACTGTGAAGTAAAACCAGAAGTTTACAAAGAAGATAAGTTTTCGTGAATGTCAGTGCCCAAAGGGTGAACAGGAGCGTTGTTCCTCGTCTTCAGCTACAATGTCTTCTTGCTTCTGCATGAAGTGGATTCTTCTGCTCCTGTTTACAGGTAACTAAGTGGGCCTAAAGGAATAGGTGGATGGAGGTAACATGCATCGATGTTTCTGAGGGTTGCAGAGAGATTTCATGTTCCAATGCGAAGTGGCCACATAGCACAGAAACGGCAGGTTTGTGCTACGAATCAAACTTATCACAGTGGCTCAATAGTCTTCTTGTGGTCTTATCTACTTTTTAAAACAAAATCATGTTGAGAATACGATGGTTTCAAAGACATTGCTTCTTGGGCTGTCTGCTAGTCTTATTAGTGAATATTCTTTTGGGGTTTTTAGATCTGAGATAAGCAGAGAACTTAAAATCATTTTAGAAAAGATGTAAAACAAGGATATTTCACTTCAACAGGCTTTGTGAAGGTGAACGCTTAGGAAGACAGGGAAAAGGTTAGCTGTGGCCTCTGGTGTTTTTTAGCCAATATGAAATTTTATTGGGACAAATTGATACATTCTCCTTTTTTATTCTGAGAAAGCAGTCATGCTAGGAAAACATTATTAGAGGTAACAGCACTGAAAACAACAGATTGCAGAGTGGTACTGGCATGGGCAGATAGACACAAAAATTTGGTGGTAGAATATGTTCAGTAGAAAGACAAGGGATACTACAGGTATTATTTCCTCTAGTTCTTTATAGAGCCTTTTATGATGAGATTCATTTAGAGCTTGCTTTTTTATATTAAATAAAATACGTTACTTTCAGAGATTAGTTTCTGGTACGCTGTTGTGGCAAAGTCTCTGAATGCAGGCTTATTTTTAACTATAATAGCTTAGGTTAGGAAAACGGCTGGGCTGAGCTGGGGAAACCAGCTTTTTCACAAGGGACAATTGCAATCAAGCTGTAGAGTGCACGGGATCCACCGGTGCATGTTGACAGAGTGGCCCTGGGGAGCTCCCTTCCTAATTATAGTCTGGGCTAGACTTTTAATAGAGATAGTTTGTTGCGTGTACTTGCTGCAGTGATTTCTATCCCTGAAATGTTAAAACGGATGGATCAAAATATTTACACACGTGATCCCGTGTTACTGAATTTGATAAAAAATGTGTAGTGGTAAATGTACGGCTATGGCAAAGAGTTTTCTTTGAAGTACAAGCAGACAGAATGTGCACCTCAGGAGCCTCACTGTGCAACCTGTTAGAAGAAAGTGGGGTTACAGGATGGCTTTGACTGGATCACCACAGCACAAATGATTTTGGCTGGCACTTGATACAGCTTTTATTGAAACCCTCCTTAAGGGAATATTGACTGGAGTGGTCTAAATAGAGCAAAAGAAACTATCTCACTGTGATGAATGGGCTATGGGCTCTAGGTCTCACTGTTGTGACTTGAATAGCATGTCACAGCCTTCTGGAAACATGAGAAATTACTTTTAATGGGAACCAAACAAGTTAAAAACTGCATAAGACTGAGGGGGGGAAAAATAAGGTAGTAAAAAAAGAGTGTATAAAATTTCTCAGAACCTGTGAAAAATCTCTCTTGGTAGGAATAGGCAAAATCTGTCATTACGCAAGGAAAAAAGGAAACATGTTCAGCTGTGATCATTCTGGTGAACCCTGCCATTTCGTGGCTTTTCATTGAAAGGGAGGGAGAGTTTCCCACAGTGGTTTTAATGAAAGTCAGTGTCTTACTGTCCCCTCATGTGTGGCTTGGATTAAATCTGAACTAAGATTAAAAAATAAAGAGCTAACAGACTGAACATGGCTAAAGAGAAGCCACCAAGTTGTGCAGATGCAAACTCTGTTCTCTCTTCACCTCTCTACCTACCCGCAGAGGCTGTGGAAAGTGTGTTTCCTCTGTCTCTGGCTGGAGACACTTTCTGAATAGATCACTGGCCCCATCATTATCCCTCACTGTGTTGGTCCTGCTGGAATTCACATCCATTTGTGGAAAACTCGATCCAGCAATGGCTGGTGGTGTTTGTGAGATAGGAGGTATCAGGTCACGTGAGATGCATGAGAAGCTTCCACTTGCATGCACTGTGCTCAACAGCTACGTTTGTCTCTTTGTCCACAGGCCCCACAGCATCAGAATCACTTGTGAAAGGAAAGGTTGGTCAGGATATCACTGTGCCCTGCTCTTACCGTGTTAGAAGCCCACAAGACATCACATCAATGTGCTGGGGTCGTGGCAGATGCCCCTCTTCAAAATGTAATGGGATAATTATCTGGACAAATGGCTGGAAGGTGACAGAGCAGTACAACCGCAGGTATACGTTGAAAGGGAACCTGACGATGGGCGATGTGTCCCTCACAATCATGAACGCCGAGGAAGCAGACAGTGGGACATACTGCTGCCGCGTGGAGATCTCAGGGTGGTTCAATGATGAGATAAGTAATCACAAGGTTGTGGTAGAGAAAGGTGAGTGCAGAGACAGTCTCTTGTGTCAGTACTATTGTGGGAAATCTGCTGTTGAGTCTGGATTTCAAAGCTTGGGGTGGAGATGATTTCTGTAATCATCCACAGGACTGATCTTTAGGACTTTGCAGATCTGCTGTTGATGCTGTTTAAATTAAGCTGTCTCTGGCATTGTTGTAATCCCAAAATGGTCACTGCAATTAAAACAAGGATGTGGTGCTTTGTTTCATGGTGCACAGCACTACTGAGCTTTCTTAGAAGCACCATTTGAAGAATTTAAAAGAAAGGGCAGCATAAAATCATAGAATGGTTTAGGTTGGAAGGGACCTTAAAGATCTCATTCCAACCCCCTTGCCATGGGCAGGGATACCTCCCACTAGACCAGGTTGCTCAGAGCCCCATCCAACCTGGCCTTGAACACCTCCCGGGATGGGGCAGCCACAGCTTCCCTGGGCAGCGTGTTCCAGCGTGTCACCACCCAGTAAAGAACGTCTTCCTAATATCTAATCTAAATCTCCCCTCTTTCAGTTTAAAACTGCTTCCTCTCATCCTGTCACTACACTCCCCAATAGAGTCCCTCCCCATCTTTCCTGTAGGTCCCCTTTAGGTACTGGAAGGGGCTATAAAGTCTCCCTGGAGCCTTCTCTTCTCCCGGCTGAACAACCCCAACTCTCTCAGCCTGTCCTCATAGGAGAGTCGCTCCAGCCCCCTAATCATCTTCGTGGCCTCCTCTGGACTCGCTCCAACAGGTCCATGTCCTTCTTTTGTTGGGGCCCCAGAGGTGGACACAGTACTCCAGGTCGGGTCTCACCAGGGGGGAGCAGAGGGGCAGAATCCCCTCCCTCGCCCTGCTGGCCACGCTGCTGGGGATGCAGCCCAGGATATGGGCATAGGCTACTTAATTTATCCAAAGCATTATAGTTGCGAAAACAGGTCTTCATTTTCCCTGCTTGATTCTACAGTAAATCCCCGGGACATAAAATTAGCATAGACTTTTTTTTTTTTTTTTGCCAACTCTTCTTTTGATTTTCAGTTTTTCTCTTGTTTGTAAAAAGCATGATAATTTATGGAACAGGTGGCTGACGTGTACTTGTGTAACTGATGCTAGCAAATTTTCATTATAGAATTTTCTCTTTTTCTCTATGTAAATGCACACTAAGGTTAATTATAATGTATGTTGGTTTTGTTTTATTTTTTAACATCAGCTAGGATCTCTACCGCAAGTCCTCACACTTACACCTCTGAACAGACCTCAGGTAACTTTTACCCAAGTACTAATCTCAATAGCATATATAAGCTCTGCTGCAAATGGGGATCTTAGGAAGGATACAAAATGATAGATGATAGAAATGTCTTGGCTAAAATATACTAAACATTACCATAGAACCGGAGATCAGAACTTGGGTTTAAATTCTGCCTGACATTATAGAGAGTCCAACAGAAGGAACTTGCATAGGTGGGAGGAAGCTTGCTTCCAGGTGTTATGCTTAAGTAGATGTTTTATTGGTGCTGCAAGCATTGTTATTCTTGTGGCTGTCGTTTGGTATGTTGTTTTCATTGTGGTATAAAAATCTCACCTTGTCCTGTGGAAATAAACAGTAAATCCCTTGAACAGTAAAACACAAGTTTTTAGGAGTTGGGTGCGCCCACTATTTAACCAATTTATTCCTTGCTCTATAACATAGAACTGTTTTATTGGGCTAGCTCAAAAGTGCATCTAATTCAGGATCCTATCTCCAGTAGCACTCAACAGCAGATGATTAAGGAGGATTGTAGAAACAGGACATTAATTTTGTGATACAGCGCTAAAGTATTCTTCAACCCTGGTATACTGTGTGTCTCAGAGGCTCCCCATGGCCTCTGCAGCCTGTGCATATTTAACAATGTGAGGCTGCTCATTGTAGTGAAAGAGACAGTGAACAACTATTCCTCACTTGGTTTCCTCATTCCACTCATGAGTTTATAGACTTCTATCATATACTCACTCAGCTGCATCTTTTTCAGTCTGAAAAAGACAACTTTAATTTCCAGTACACAAGAGAGCTCATAGTGTAACAATAGCTTATTCTCTGGATTTTGAAAGAAAAATCTGGGATGCTATTTGTATTTGTCTCTCTATCTCAGAGGCTTCCAGCTAAACAACTCTAAAATGTTACAACAGTTGCATTTCCTTTTTGAAAGAAGAAGTGAAAACTTTCTCAGACTGTTTCTGTTCTGGTTGCAAAAAACATGGCTTCCAATCTTGGAACTCACGGGTTCTCTTAACCCTGTGACATCTTCCTTAGCTGCTGGTGGAACAATTTTTTTACGTTTTTGGAATACAAGTTAGTATGTGCATGTTCACACAGAGGGAGACTGGAAAGGGCAGGTGGCCGCCTGCCTCTGATGTAGGAATACTCCAGAATCTTCAGTGGAAGAGAACAGTGAAGCAGATGATCATGTTCTCTTCAAAATAAAGTTTCTGGGATAAGCGTAACAATTTAAAACGTCAAAGGAACGAGCTGGGGTGTTCATAATGTGAACAGGAGATTTTGTTTTCAGGAGGGTTGTACATCATCTGACAACACATGGAGAAACTGAGACTGATGATACAGAAGACATAAGTTTGTAGCTCTGAATTTTAAATACTGCAAACAGCTTTGCTCTGGGAAATTACCTCAAAATATGCTGCAGGTCCTTATGCACTTTGGTCAGTCTGTTTATTGTATAGCTGTCTGAGACTTTAAAAGTCTTACTTGCTTTCTCTGACTCTGCACCACTTACTCTTTCAAGGCCCTGCGCTAACCTTAATCAGTTTTCATCTGATAAAGTACGTTTGCTTTCGGCATCCACTGCCTCTTCTTGGCTCCAAAACCAGATGCCTACCTTGGTAACTCCTTCCTTCTAGGCCCTAAGTGTTTCCTGGAAGGAATTCAAAGCTCTGAAAAGGGCAGCAGAGACTCCAATATTCAGAGTTTTGTGCTGCCCTCTGAAGACACCAACCTCTTTATGGTACGCAGAGCCGAGACTCCTGATAGAGAGATACTTAAGTGCGGTGGTCCCACGTCAGCAGTACAAATTCCTCCCTGTCAAGGCAGGAATTCCTCTCTGTGCAAGTGATGTGTCTGTCTTGCCTTTGCTCAGCTCCTGGGAGCACCGGTGAATCATCCTCTACCATCACAAGAACGTGGCCGTCGGTTTCTGCTTCCGAAGCTCCTCAGACCGTAAGCATCTCTGTCGTGCTATAGCATACCTAGGCAAAGTCGGTAGACAGAAGAGGATATTGGCTTGTCCCCACACTTCACTTGTACTGTTTTAGTTTGGTTGCAAAAGACTTTATTTCTTTTTTGTAATCTGCACCTTTCGTGCTTATGAAAGAATGCTTATGTGCTCATTATTAAAGGAGGGGGAAAAACCTGCTTTGCATGCATAAAGCACTTCCTACTAATGCAGGAAGAGCTTTAGCAACATGTTTATTGCCTTTCAGGCCCCTGGTCCCTGCTCAAACATCTCAGACTGCTCGGGGGTAACCTCAAACCTGCAGGTACGGCAGGGTATGGGGAAGAGTGGAAATTGGACTCCCCGACAGGACAGCAGTGCACCTGCACCGCCCATGCAACGGGGTTCAAACAGCTCTGCGTCTGTCCTGCGGAGTCCTCCTGCACCTATTGCTGAGTGACAGGCGGGAACATCACCCAGATTTTTATCAGGAAGAGAAGACAGCCAAGTTAGCCTTTGGGAAGACCTGCTGTGACATGCTGCAAGGCAGCATGTGCTGCGGGCGTTCATACTGCCGCGTGTGCAGAATGTAAGTCGGGGACCACACTGCGCGTCAGCGTCTTCCCAGGCCGGAGAGGTTGGATGTCTCATGGCTGGCTTCAGGAAGAAGTTTTGCCTAAATAAAGACCAGGGCACTGAGAAGGCATATTTACTTATTGATATAAAGCCCTGAATAACTACTGAACAAGCTGACAAAAAGGGAGTGTGTGGGACACCTGGAGATAATTTAATCCTAAAAAATAAATAAAATATTCACCAAATAGTATTAAACTTGAACAAATGTGATTTGTCATCACTTCACATTCCTTTGACTATCTCAAGAAATAATGTGTTTAACAGCATGGCTCACACAACTCTTGCAGTGATGCTGCTTGAAACTAGTCCCATGTCTCAAATTTGGCTCTTGCTCTCAAGTACACTTTTACTGCAGGGTTGCAAAATACACAAATGGGCTTTGGGTACTGTACGGGCTTCTCACTGTCAGCGCCACTAATGCTCATCTGTTTTGTGTTTGACAGAACCAGTCTGTATCACATCCCAGTCAGCAGAATTCAGAAAATTGGCTATACATCGGCATCGGTTTATGTGTGGTACTTCTAGCCATCCTTTTTTTGGCTCTGTTCCTCACTAGACGTAAGTACTTTTCACAGGTGGGTCGAATACATGAAATCACAGCTGTGGCAGGTGCCATATATCTTCTGCTTCAGGGCAGTGAACTAACATCTCTGGATGGCCGCACTCTGTGCCCTGTGCTGTGGTTGTGTGCTCAGATCCCCGCATAGCCTCTGGGGCACAGAACAGCAAGGTGCCAATGTGGTGCCATCGCTTTATGTCTTGGACTCCTTAGTAACCAGTCGACCCACAGTCTGATGAGGAGATGCATGATACAAGTCCACCTTCCCTGTACCGCTCATTTCCTCCTACCCATTGTCGCCATGTTGTCCCAGTCTTTCCCAATGGGAGAGGCACTGGTTTCATATAACCATATCCAATATTTTTCTATGTGCCAGACTTTCTCCATAGAGGCTCTTGGTTGGACCAAGCTATATGAATTGGATCTCATGGAAATAATGGGGATTTCCTACACTGAAAACATCTGCTAAAAGTTCCCATATTTAGTTTCTTATACTTGATCTTTTTTTTTTTTTTTTTTTTTTATCTGCTACTTTACTTGCTTCTGATGGTTTAAAGAAAATTGTTTTCTTTCTTTTTTCTTTATTTTCATTCTGGATGGTCTTCAGAATATTTCTACAATACGAAGAAGATGGGTGACTTTCCAAAGTAAGTATTCTGTTCCTGCTTTAGCTAATAGGTCAAACTAGGTTGCAGAAGGAAAAGGTTGTCAGTGTGCTGACCGTTCCACCACGTACTTTGACTTTCTTTTTTAATCTCAAGTGAATAGGAAACATTGCAAAAAGAAATTAATAAATTCCGCTACTTATTAGTAAGCAAGCAAAAATAAGTATAACTGCCAGTTCATTGCATTAGGCAGCATGCAAACTTCAAGTGTGGGTTGTCTCAGAAGTGAGAAAATGATTCATTGTCCGTCATGTTTAAATAAGCGTCTTTGCATATTTTACATTTTTCCAGTGAGCTGGTTGATTTAGCTATCTGCTCTTCTGCTGTGTTTCTATTGTCTGTTTTTTGTTTAACACCATGGTTTTTACTCTTCTGTGCAGCTTCGTTGCATTTTGGAGACAAGAACGTGCAGGGAACCATAGTGCCCTGGAAGATGAGACCCATGCAGAGGAAAATGTTTATATAATACACTAAGGACTGTATGCATGCCTGCCTTTGCCATCGCTGGGACATTGAACAGTTTGCAAAATGTTAGCTGCTCTCTCTGCTCAGCAGCTAAACGTGACTGGACTGAGAAGCATTATTCACATCGTTCTAATAAAACAAATAAAAGCTGCACTTCTAATTAAAAACTTTATCAGCCTGTTCCAGAAACAGAAACCCTATTGGCTTGAATTAAACTTTCCGGAATCCACTTGTGAAACCCTAAAGAAAGTTACCATTATATTTATTATCTGCTTCAAATTCTCTCCTCCTTGGAAAAAAAGAGGAAGTGCCAGAACAGCCACTCAGTCACACAAGGAAAACCACACATTTTTTTAAAAGTTTGTCTTTACTGTGTATTCTGTCTGCCAGCTACAAAAGAGTCCATGCCATCAGAGGGCAGAAGCAATCTCATAGCTGCCATGACAAAGATGACACGTGGAAAAACGTGGTAGTACTAGTATTGCAATGTACATTTAGTTGAATTTTCATTAAGGTCAAGTATACCCAGTCCTGGTAACAGCTCAGTAATGCAATGTACTGAGCCCACAGTTAAATTTGGAGAAACTATTGATGCTCAGCCCCTCATAGGACGTTCTCAGAGCGTACAGGATCAGTACTTCAATGTGCAGAATATTCACAGCTTGTTTTCAGAGAACTATGACTAGGTGTCATAGTTCTCTGTATGATGTATTTTGCAGGTATTGTTTTCAGAGAACTATGACTAGGTGTGTTTTCCTCTGCAAAATACATCACTTTTTCTGTGGCTTTCTCCTCGTGCCCGCCTATCCCCTGAGAAGTCCTCAGCATGGAAAATTTCACTTCTAGGCCTCTAAAACAACTGAGCAAAAAATAACTACTTTGTGAAGTTAATTAAGTTCTTACTTTTCTTAGCTTGTGGAAAAAGTAGTAGACGTTGCACAAAATTTGGCTGAAAGTTTTCCCTGCCTTTACGCCCCTCTAGGTATCAAACAACAATGTCTTATGCGGGGTTGGTTTGATGGCTTTTAGCTCACAAGTGGGAGTATCTGTGGCCCAGTGCCTTTCCCTCATTGCTCCTCAGTGTAATCCTTACCTCATTGTTGGGAAATAGACACAACTCACCCAAATCAGCTTCAAGTGGGAGAGTAATTTTCCCTAATTGTTTTTAAGAACATATTTTTTAAACAGAGGCTGGGGACTTACTGAAAGAGCAGAAAAGTAGTACAGGCAGGAGAAAGACCAACTCTTACAAAGTACTGGTCAGTACAAATTTTGCCCTGAAGCTCATCCCAAGCAGCAATATAGAATAGATAAATCAGACATTGCTGCCACAGGGAAGGCTCACAGGCTTACCACAAACTGTCTTAATTGAGTGCATCATTTTAAAGGGAGTCATGCAAAGAACAAAGCTGTTACCCAATGGGGCATAAAGGATCAATAATAAAATCAGTAGGTGTTTATGTTAACAGCTGAGACACTTGGGGCTGCAGTCTGGTTGTGTTTTAAGGGGAGCTGGGCTCAGTGGAGCAGTTCCCTGTCCTTCCCCCAGCTGGTAGAGATGGGAGGGCTTGAGCTGGCTGGGGAGGGCAGCGTTTTCCCCTGGGAGTCCTGGAGAGCCTGGCTAAGGTGGGATACTGTAGGTGAGTGTGCTGGCAAAGGCTCACGAAGGAGGGAAAGGCTCCTCGTCTTGTTGAGGAAGAAACGGAAAGCAAGTTGGGATAGGTGACCCTGGTGCGCTTTGTGTTTTCATTTGGGCTGTGTGTTGTCTTACGGCTGTCTGTTGCAGCTTGCCTAAGAGGTTGGAAATGTGGAGGTAAATTTCTGGTTGACTAAAGAGCTCAGTGTGGGAGCACAGGTATTAGGTGATTCCAGATCCCTGGGCCAGGAAAGGCGGTGGAAGAAATCAGCTCTGCCATTTTCTGTCTTCGTGTCACATGTTGCCTTGTGTAAGAAGGTACCAAAACTAGAAAGGACCTGCTAGTGTTAGACTGTATTTCTGTATTTGACTATTTTTAACAATTACTAAATTAAAATTACTGACCCCAGTGCAGACGGTGCTTTCCTGCTGCCTGGCTGAGCATGTCGCTGCTGTGGGCTGTAGCCCATGACCGGAGTTGGAGGAAGTCTGAGCTGGTCTCTGAACTAGATCTCAGAAAACATCTTCAGCGGTTTCTGCTTTCTGCAACTTTTACCAAATCAATCTCTACTGGGATCAGAGTTAGACAAGTGTGGGGTTTCCAACACTATATGATTCCAACCACTCCTGCTCTTAAGGAGTTTGAGGACCATCCTTGAAGACTGCTATTTATGAAAACTGCTTGCCCATAAGGATTTTTTTTTGTAATATTACAGACTAATTCTTATATCTGAGAGTTTTCATGCAAAACAAAGTCGTAGAGTATCTGATAACCAAAATCTCAAGTAAAATTTCCTTTCTGCTGTGCGGTTACTTGGTAAACAGACTCTGCAAAGGTTATGCAGAGCAAGAACTTTGCCTTGGATATACAGTATAATACATACAAATACACGCAGGCAGATGATCCCTGTGCTTTTTCATGACTTCCACTCGTGTCAGTGGATCTTGGAACAGGCATTTCAAAACGAGCCCCAGGGGTGTGCAGGTGGCACTTGGAGCCTATTCTCCTGTTACGAGATTATCCAGCTGCACACAAACTGGCAGCACATTAACGGTGATGAGGCTAACGAGCTGCAAACTGATTTTTTTGGGGGAGAGCTTCCTGCCTTTCCTTTTCTGCCTGCAAGAAGCCACTAGATAGCAGTACAGAAGCAGAAAGCAAGGCACATTTTTTCTGGATTTTGGATGGCCCTTTTCAATTCACTCTGCTGCATTTATCCCAGTCTTGCTAAAGAAACAAAGCTGACGTGATGCAGTGTTCATCTTCTTCCTTCCCTGGTCACCTGCAACATACTGACCAATCCTGTTTTGACAAGCTTCATGAAACTGGTAGCTGGATAAAGGTCCAAATTTGTGCCCCAGGTGGGATTCAGCTGCTCCCTGCACTGGCATCAGCTGGGCATGGGCTCACAGCCACTGCTTAATGGTGAATGATGGGAGACAAAGGAGAAACTGGGATTATTGCAGGGAAAAGCTCTCCAGGATATTGGACACATCAGGTTTCATTAGTTCTGTTCACAGAACAGCTGGGGCTGTGAGTACTTCACATTGTATGAACTGTACCTGGTAGAATATAGCAAACTAGGTATTTTCCTGATTGCTGGTTAACATGCCTTATAATGTTGATGATAAGACACTGCTGTATTGTTGTGTTTATCCCCACTGGTTGCTGGTTTTGCTGTACTGAAGCATATGAAGGTACAGAGAAATATCGCAGCATCACTTTGTTTCAGAATAAACTCAGAATAGTTCTCTGAGCTTCACGCTGCTTGAATCTGCCACTAGGTTGGTTACAGCAGCACCAGTTGGCACCGTGCTGGTGAAAGAAACCAGGCACCTTGGCTTTGCTGGACTCCCGTCTATTGGGGGGCTACTTCTTGTCACCGCAACGTAGCGGTGGTGTGATAGAAGAGGATGCTAATGAGAGGTAGCCTTCTACTCCAATGTACTACTGAGCCCAACAGGTCTGCAGAGTCCATCTGAGAGTCCTTCTCTGATGCTGTGTTGGGGGGGGATATTGAATAGCTAATCCCTCTCCAACCTTCCTGTGCTACTCAAGATTTTGTGGACCTGTTCATGGTACCCCTTAGGTTATCTCTTTTCCAGGCTGACCCATCCTGGACTACCCATCTAATCCTCCCGTGGAAGCTCTTTCATACTTTCCACCATTCTTTTTGCCTTTCCTGTAACCCTTTCTGGATCTAACATATGCTTTGAGGGGACTAGAACTAAACATAGTATCCAAAATAGAAATTTGATTTGCCTTTTTTAATGCTACCAAGCAGAGGGGTGGTATTTTCATGGGCTTCACTACTCATAGAATCACAGAATGCTTTAGTTGGAAGGGACCTTAATTATCATCTAGTTCCAACCCCCTGCAATTCTTCATTCCTGACTTTAATGCCCTGAATTAATTTTGCTTTGTTGCTCATCTTTCGCAGAGAACAACTTCCAGAGAACTTCTTTATTCATTGGTCAGAAAGAGTTAAAAAAAGTCAGAAAGATTAAAAAGTATTTCTTGGCGTTGGTGTTGCAGATCTTTGGGAAGGACATTGTTTTGGCGAGAAAACATTTGTGAGAGTCTCTCCAAGGCTGTCTTTACAAATAGAAAATATGAAGCTGGTGAAAGAAAGAAGCAGAAGTCTTCAAGCAGATGGTGGAATCAAGTGAAATGAAGGGATTAAGAAAATGTAAGCAAAGACAAAGTCACAGGTGGAGACTAAGCCAAATATTTAGGACCGTAAGAGCACAGAGCTTGTTCTTGCTGCTCAGCACCACAGAATGGTAACAGGCCTTAAGAGTTCCATGGAAAGGCAAAACAAATCGTCTGTTGAAATCTCTGGTGGTAGTACCATGCTCTGCATCTTGGAAGAGGAAGAAGAATAGGATAGAATGGGATAGGATAGAACAGTTGGAAGGGACCTTCAATGATCACCTAGTCCAATTGCCTGACCACTGGGCTGACCAAAAATTAAAGCATGTTAAGGGCATTGTCCAAATGCCTTTAAACACTGCCAGGCTCGGGGCATTGACCACCTCTCTAGGAAGCCTGTTGCAGTGTTTGATGACCCTCTCAGTAAAGAACTGCTTCCAATGTCCCTTCTAAACCTTCCCCAGCACAGCTCTGAACCATTTCCATGCATCCTATCACTGGATACCAGAGAGAAGAGCTCAGCACCTCCCTCTCCCCTTCCCCTCCTCAGGAAGCTGTAGAGAGCAGTGCGGTCACCCCTCAGCCTCCTTTTCTCCAAACTAAACTAACACAGAGCCCTCAGATGCTCCTTCTCAGACGTGCCTTCCAGCCCTTTCACCAGTTGTGTTACACTCCTCTGGATGTGTTCAAGGACCTTCACGTCCTTCTTAAATTGTGGGGCCCAGAACTGCACACAGTGCTCAAAGTGAGGGCGCTCCAACGCTGAACGCAGCAGGAGAATCACCTCTTTTGACCGGCTTCTCTCCGGAAGTGCAGGAAAGAAGCAGTTGCAGTACATAAAATCTGGAAATGGAGAAATGAGACTTCAGTGGGGCTCACTCAGCATCTCTGGAAAGTACAAGATCTAGTTGTCTCGTCTTCCACTTGCTGCACCGGAGTCTCCATCAGCTAAAATGTCCCATTTTGCGCTGTTTCACTGGATTGTGATACAGATCTTTATAGGTGAGTCTTCGCCTGCTTTTTGTGTGCTTGCTGAGAAAACAAAAATTTTGTAAAACTAAAAACAGTGACACTTGTTTTGTGAAAACAAAACAGTGGAAAAGGTCATAACTGTATACAGAACTTCAAAAGTCTTCTTAACTTACTGAGTTAATACTGATCGAGACTTTTTTTTTTTTCCTTTTTAAAAATGTATGTGGTTTCCTCTGTGTGTATGGGCTTGGTTAATTCCCCCGTCCCCCAGATTATCTGATTTCTTTACTACTGTTGTGTACTGCTGGCTTTGCTTCTTCATCTGTCTCTCCACCACGCTACAGTGCTGACACAGCACAAGCTAGGGAATTGAAATATTGGCAGATTAATGAATGTATATATGTGATAAAGAGAGGATTTTCTGAAACTCTGAGGGCTGTCTGCTGGTACGAACTGAGTATGGGAAAGCGCTGCTGGAGATTCCTCTCCTTTTACTCCCGTGTTCAGTTCATCCATCTAAAATCTGAATCCTGAAAAAGACAGAAGTCAAAGAAGAGTAACTTGGGAGCCCAGGTCTTGCAGGCATGGTTGATATCGGCTACATTTCTACACGCGCGTTTAGGCAATGCAGTTTCCAAATTGCGTGAGGTGGCTCGGGAATGTGGGTTCACCCGCTTTCAGCGGGGCATGAGCTCCTAATGGGAGCTGTGCTTTTAAATCACTTAGGCATTTCAGAAAATCCTGTCTCAGGTGACTAAATATTAATTGGCTCACCTCTGCCAGGATGAAATATTACATATAACATCTACAGCAACTGTGATGTTCTTAAACTGATCTGAAAAGTAGTGGAAAAGTTTGGTCAGCAGCAGGACACGCTGAGGGGCAAGAGGTGATCCATGCCCCGCTGAGGCAAGGTAACCACCTCCACAGTGTCTGCTGCGCAAATGGAGCTTCGCCGGCACTTTGCTGTAGCCCAGGGAATTCCATAATATATTTTATTTTTTTGCCAGTCTCAGCAGAAGAAACAGGAGGGCTCTTTCCTTGCCGTATCTTCAGCCTCAAAATAAATACTCGCCTCCATTTGGTCTTATTTTCAAACACTTTCTTATATGCAGAGCTACAGAAGGATGAGAATGACTTTTTGTCACTTTCTCTTTAACTCGGCTCAGTGCTGAGAATGGGTAGTCTTGAGACTCAGGAAACCAGCAGAGTGGGCAGTTAAATGCTTCTTTTCTGTTTATCAGTCATTTTCTCTGCAATTTCATCAGTATGGAAGCTTCAAGAAGAAATTAAAAAAAAAAAAAAGGTTGATAAGGAGAAGGTGCCAAGAATCTTCTACAAAGAAGGAAAATTATTCCAGAAACAGATCAAGAAAGAAAAATTCTTTTTCAACCAGCCATCTTTGTCCATCGATGACCAGCCTATGGGAGAGGAGACCACTACAACAGCAACTGCTGGAGTTACTGCTTAATACCAACTGTCACTGAGGGTTGGTTCAAGAGCGACTGTATATAAATATGTGTATATCTGTATGATCTGAACAATTATGAATATCCCTTTCTATTTTGGAAGATATATTAAACGTCCATGTCTCTCTTACTTGGATGAAGGACTTAGAGTGGCAAACCTCACTGATTTCAGCGGGACTACCCAGGCACAGCTGATGCTCAGGGTGCCGTGGGTCAAACCTGAATGCTGAGGAGGGTCACTGCTATGGACAAGGGTAGGATTCCTCTCACAGTAAGACTAGGGTGTCACAATATAACAGCCTCAGGAACCTCCTAATTACAACACATGTTCAAAGTCCTATTTACTATTTCTTTTGGAAGAGGCTGCAACTGAGAAGGAAGTTATTTAGTCCTTGCAGAGGTTCATACTGTTGAACCAAGGCTGTTGCGGTACTGAAGCTTTCCACACCAACCTGCAGTGCAGGCAGATGTTAGCAACATTAGCTTCACGTAAATTAAAAGAGGATTTGAAACTGCAAAACCTGTAACTTTCTTGCACCAATACTGGTGGGAAATTGCACTGGAGACACCCTGGTGCCTTGTGTCTTCCCTCTTTTTCTTTTTATTTATTTATTTAATAAGCTCAGGGCTCTGCTTTCGAGGAGAAGAGTAGGCTAATTTTCCTTTGTTAAGGGGTTGCTTAATGAAGCTGCTTTTGTGCTGTGCAGGACTGGGAAGACATAAGAACAGAAGAAAAGCCTGTTTCTCCTCAAGCAGCAGTGACCGTAACTCCAGGAATAGTTCAAGCTGGTCTTGGTTTTACACACATCTTTGCTGGGGTGGCTTGAAAATATGTGTTAACCCGCTCAGTGACTAACTCCTTGCTCCCTTAGGGATACTTCCAACATTGACTGGATGAAATGTTTTGTTGTGTTGTCACAGAAAGAGGCTGTTTTCTCTGTTTTGCTGTAACAAGGCAAATGATACCACCCTTTCCAAGGACTAAAACAAGCTGCCATCTTGCAAAGCCTTATCCTGTATGCAGGAATTCATTTTTTTTGGCACATCCTACCTTCATTTCACTGCAAAAGCTTCTGCCCTTCACACCATATTGCGTGTTGTTTTGTCTGCCTCTACTCTTTTAGCATTTGGAGCTGTGGAAACCTGAATGAGTTGGCTTATCTTGCCAATGGGATAAGCAATAATGAAGCCGAAATGTCATCCCAATAACAAGTCGTGAGGCAGCCTGCCACTGACTAAAACCTCACCTGGGGAATAGTCCATTAAAGACAAAACAAAAGAGACATGGACACAGTTGGAAGCATCTGTTTGCTATCTGGGAGTCATGCCAAAAAGAAAAGGCATTCAAACAGCTGGCAAAATAGAAATGTTTGGCAAACCAGGGCCAAAGCTGGTGATAATAGCAGCAACTGCTGTAAGTCTTTTTGGCGGCAAGCAAGCTGGCCATGAGATGTCAGATCTGCGGGATGATCCTCTTGCTGCAGCAGAGGACCAGATCTGGATGCTCCCGAGGTCCCTCCATTCCGGCTCCACCATATGTAAATAATAACATGGGGGGAAAAGGCAACAAGGTAGGAGGACTGACACAGACTAGATGAATGTAAACCAGAAAAGATTTATTCCTTTATGGGAACCCTTTTTTGTATAGTGCCTTTTATGAAGAAGAAATCCCTTTTAGGGCAATCTGGGAACTCCATAGACAGTTAAAGGGAAAAATATGTAGCAAAGATTCAAACCAGATACTAAGGTGGGTATTGGCGGTAAACACCAAATAGACCTGGTTGTTAAGAGTAAGAGCACAAGGAAAACATACATATGCTGTTTTTAACATCAGCATAAGACTAGCAGTTAAAGCTTCTACATACACGGTGCTCTGCAAGGTAAGTGGGATAGTTGACAGGACTTGATCAGAAAGAGAAAAAGCAGTGCACTTTCTGAGAACAGGTTCCACAGACATATCCCACTCCTCTGCCAGCTTAATTAGGCCCTAATTTCACCCATGAATAGGTATTTTGGACACTGCTATTGAAACTGTCAGTGAAAGGCAACTATGACAGCATTTCCTTTTTGAAGGAGACGATGGTGGACTGAGAAAACCAGGTGTATTTCACACTAGGTTTCTGAACAGCTTTCAAAGTCCCTTGGGAGAGGAGGTGGGATGGGAGTGGAGTTCCCAAATTCCATTTGCACAGGTCTAGTCTGTGCCCAGGCTGCCAGTGACAGACCTCGGCTTCGCTCACCGCATGTTTGATGTGAGTGATGTATTTGGTGAGCAGCCCTCCAGCAGCCGGCCAAGGCCAGAGCGTGGAGCCCTCCAGCACCAGCAGCAAGCCAACCCTTGCCAGCTCCCGGCTGTCACCCATTGTGCCCTGGGACATTAGCTGCCACCGGCTCCTGGGGAGGGCTAACTAAGGGGATCCTGCAGGCAGGAGCATTTCTTTTCCTGCCTCATTGTGTTGCACATGTAGAGTCACGCATGGGAGACTGCCAACGCTCACCTTTCCTTGTTCTTCCTTGACAGCCCACACCGCATCTGAAACCGTTGTCAGAGGAGTAATAGGGCAAGCTGTTCAGTTGCCTTGCTTCTACCAGGTGGCACGACAAAAGGACATCTCCGACATGTGCTGGGGCAGAGGCCCGTGTCCAAATTCAAAGTGCAATAACAAAATTTTGCACACCACTAGGAATAGGGTGACGTTCAGAAAATCACAGCGATACAATCTCCAGGGCTATATTTCCTACGGAGATGTGTCTCTCACGATTGCAAAAGTGAAGGCAGAAGATGCCGGCACATACTGCTGCCGCGTCGAGATCCCAGGTTGGTTCAACGACATCAAACAGAACATGCGGCTGGAGGTGGTCAGAGGTGAGTTTGGGGACCTTTGTGATACAGCCATCAGGTAGAAACCTCTCACTGGATAGGAGTTTAAAATTGGAGTTTTCAATATGTGCTTTTTTGATATGTTTGTTTTGGCAAAAAGTGTTTTTCCTAAATCACGTCGTTTTCAAGAGAGGTCTGCAACCAGTTGCCAATTTGAATCACATTCAATAAGCAGTTTTGATGAGAAAATAGTAATTTTACCCTTCTCTTGCCTTTCAAATGAAGTATTTAATTGCTCATTGTGTAGCTATATTTGGTGTTTTAAAAGATGATGGAATTAAAAAAGGGATTTATCATTTGAAAAGCCCTTGGAATGAAATTCAGTTTTTCATAAGGGGTTCACCCCAACACCAAAAAGGCTTTCATTTGGTTTATGTCATATGGAGACCTATGTGTTTGGAAATTTTGCCTCAGAGTTTTGAAGGACTTTTCCCCCCTTCCTATTATTTTGCTAAGCTGCAGGATAAAATAACGGTCTTAGAAAGTCAAGAAGAGGCTGAAAAGCATTGCAAAGCACAGAAAAAAAGATGGTACCCACCCTCCACGCTGCAGAAAGACAAATTTTTTTGACTTTTACAGGGTCTTCAGGAGTGCAATGGTGTTGATGTACAAAGCACTCTCATATGCCTGTTGTAAGCGATATAACAGGAGAGTGGGGGAAAAATGCGGCAATTCCATGTCAATTCCTCCTTTGAGAGCAACAAAGTTTATAAAAAAAGGTCCAGTTGAAAAGATTAGCAAGAAGATTGTAGCTGAAAATGAAGCTATTTTATTTATTTTATTTTTATGAGATCATTGAAAAGCAAAATCACAAAGTTTGCAAGTTTTTGGGTTCTACCACTCAAGGCTCTGGCCCTTCCATTTCTGTAAGAGGTTCAAGGAGGAGATGTTTGAGACCTACTCAACCCCCCCAAAAAAGAAAGCAAATCTGTAAATCTGGGAATTGTTCTAGCTGGGACATGTTTTCTGCTAATTAAACCATGTTTTTAAATAGCGACTCTTCCACCTTCATTCTCAGTATTTTAGCAGCTAGATAATTTTCATTTATTTCTAGGTTGGCTTTCCTCAGGGTCGGTTGTGAATGCTCTGGTCTAGCTTTTTTCTTCGCTATGTTATTTCCATGCAGCCCCTCCAGTGAAGACAACCACCACGAGAAAGGCTCCCGTTACCCCTAAGCATTTTAGAAAAACAACTTTTGTTCCCCAACCAACCACCGATCATCAAACAACAGCAGAGACTGCTGTCCTCCTGACAACCACCTTCCCCGAAGCAACAACTGCGACCACTGATCATCAAACAACAGCAGAGGCTGCTGTCCTCCCTACAACCACTGTCCCCGAAGCAACAACTGCAACCACCGAGTCTTAGACCACTGCTCCCCCAACATTTGCCATGACAGCAAATGACATTTTTCCAGAAACTGTGGTGACAACTAGTGTTCCCCCAGATTTTTCAACTGGTTTCCAAGCAGCTGATACAAGGACTGAGGATGATGCCATGTTCTGCCCAACAGAGTCTGTCCCTCTTCCTGGAGGTACAAAGGGTAACCAGCACCAATCCTTTCTTTCCTCTGTGTAGCAGAGATGGTCTGTGTTAGCCTGACTCTGGCATCATAGAGACTCTCCAAATACTTATATTTGTATCTGGGAAGTTTTCTCTGAGACACTCTAGGTATGCCTCAGTAGGTTTAAGGAGACACAGGTCAAATGTTGTGGATGATGCCAAACTGGGATGAATGGCCAAGGTAGCAGAGGGTTGGGCTTGCATTCAGAGGAGTTTTAACAGGCTGGAGAAATAATGTGAAAGAAACCTGATGAAGTACAACAGAAATAAATGCAAAGTCCTGCACCTGGGGTGGAGTGGGAGAGATTCACTCAACTATGCACTATTTTTTTTTTCTTGATTTGGTAAAGACAATTGAAATGGTCTGCTGAAAAGGTTAGTTTAGAGCATGTTCTGCTTGAGCAATAAAGTCAGTGAAAATTCGAAACATGCTTAAAATTGAGTACTTACGTTGTCATCCCATATGAAGGCTGCTGTTATTATTAATATTTAGTTGATCAGAGTGACCTATTATCATCCTAACCATTCTTAGGTTGCTCTTTTTCCACACCAGTGACAACTTTTCCACAGATTGATGTCTGCACACAAGGCCGGTTTTTGTACATTTTTGGGGTCTTCTATCACTTGAAGGTCTTTCTGACGTGAATGTCTGAGGACAGCTTTTCTATACTGTCTCTTGTCTTCCAGCCAGATAAACTCGGAAACAATTAATTACATCCACAGCTGAACAGTTTAAACATCTAACCACTGCTCATGGTAGTAAAGTACATCTGTTACCTGGGTAGGATGAGCTGCGGGCATGAAAACCGAGGTGCACATTTTCACCTCTTATTTGCAGATGCAGGACTGTGCAAGTGGTTTTGAAAGCCACATGAAGGTCCTCCTAATCAGTGATCTTTACCAGCATTACTTTTTACTTTGTTTCAGTGACCACCGAATTCCCAAGTACACTTCTGACTGCAGAGGGAACTGAAAGTGCTGACACTTCGCTCATGGTGGAAGATGTGCCAACTGCAGGTGAGGAGGATAACATTGCAAAGTCAGAAGTTGTATGTTCAGAGAAATGAAGAAGTTGTCATAAACAAAAGTATTGACTATTCTTAAGAGTGTACCAAACGTACTGATAGCTATTCAGTGCAAGTAAGATGTATATGGTGTTCCCACAGAAATAGTTTGTAATCAGGATGTAAAAGCTGAGAAAAACGTGTCTTTAAGCCTCCAAAGGAAGTAGATTTTGAGTCACTCACTACTGTTGGGTATCTCAGGTCTGACAGAAGTTAAGAAATGGTCTTTGTTGCCATCCAAGCTGAGTTCTCAGATATCTAATTTGTCATCACTGTGAGTTCATTGAGCTTTCAATTTTAAATCCTCCCTGAGTGTTGTGAGCTTTGAAACTCACTGAATGTGGCTGCAAGGCTCAGCTCTCCAGTGCTCAACACGTGTTCTTGGTCATGATGGAAAGCAGGAGGCAATTACCACAACTATCAGTCATTCCGTCAAGGGAAAATGAACTGCTATCTAAAATCATACCATATCTAAGAAATGCATAAACTTACATGAAGTTTGCACCTCATGTCTCAATCGAGTGTAAAAGTGGAATGGCTGAAGTTATTCATGTGTGATAGTCTGCCCTCAAATGAGGACTTAAAAAAAGGAAAGCTAAAATTCAAGGATGTCATGTCATATTTGGCTGGTAAGAGAGTTCTTTTAGTTACAACTAGTGCCAAGAATCTCCTCATTCTTAAAAACACAGTATTTAGATTTTTTCAGGTCTTATTTGCTAGACCTAGAGACTTACAGCAGAAACAGAATTTAGGAAACTGTTCCTTAATGCCCCTAGAAAGGGCTAACAGAAGAGAATAAACTGGTCTCTTGGGCATTTGTGAGGGTTTCTCACCCGTCTTACTTGTCATCTTTCTGATATAGTTCTGGATAATGCCTGTGTTCTGCTATTGTAAACAGGGAGTTTTGCAAAGGGTCTTACCTCTGGGATTCTGGGGGCAACTTAAGTTGTGCCTGTGGGCTAGAGAGAGCCACCACAAAAGCAATAACAGCAGAAAACACACCACGCTTATGTGAGTCACGTACACTCCCACCCATGCAAACACTTGTGCCATGCTATTTCCGAGAGCCAAACTGTCATAATGTGTGAAAATGCTGCAGCATAATTGTGCCGTGTCTAGTAAGAGCCATAAGCCAAGTTAAGTTCTTGACTCAGTCTCCTTTTACTCTGTGAAGTAATGCACTTAATTGACCAACTTCAGCCTTGTTGGAGTGCAAGGGAAGGCTAATTTTTAGCTGAACTCTGTATTGATGCTGGCACAGTGGCTGGGAGAGAAACCCATAGTTGGGAGAGAAACCCATAGTTGGGAGAGAAACCCATAGTTGAGAGAGAACTACAGCTGCAGGCGTACGAGCTACCTGTGTCCTGTCCATGTCTTTGATATAATGCAAGCACGTTAGTTGGTACATGGAGATGAATCAACTCAGCTCTGGGAGAGAGCTGATCAGAACTGAGAAGTTTGGGGGCCATTAGGGTATTTACTGAATAACATACCCTGAAATTATTTTTTTAAAAAGCAATTTTTTTTTTTTCTAATGGGCTTATTTGTCACCGTTTGATCATCCCCACCATCATGTGACATTCTGAGTGTCTCATGCATATAAAGTTTCCTTTGGCTGCGGTCTTGGGCACCGCAAGTGTGTTACATGTACATGCCCTGACAAATGACTCATCTGGTCCCTGGTACATTTTGCTCAGATGGAGACTTCACAGTTGTTCTTTTGTCAAACATTTGAAAGCACTACTCATCACAGTCTTTCTATACATTAGGGCATGACCTAAAGCACAGGAGCTTTCCTGTCATAGGATGCAACCTGAAGTTTTGATTCACTAAGTGGAGTGACTCCTCTGTTTTTAAGGTGCTGCTAAATGTTGGGTGCTTCCTGCGACAAATCAAGTGCTCCAAATACTTAAATACTTCAGTACTTTGTAGCATGAGGTCATGATGAGCCAAGGCCCAAGCCTGGATTAACTTCTTGTGACTTTAAATTCACTAGCAAAAGTAAGAGGGTAGGATCATAAGCTAACAGCAGAAAAGCTTGCTGCAAGACTTCTTGAGGATTCATTTAGTTCATCCCTATTTCCAAAGCTTAGAAAACTAGAACTGAATTATTCGTAATATCCCTAGATAGAAAAAGAAGTGCATCATCTTCATAGAGCTTTCTTAAATCTGTGGTAAGTTGTCTGAAGATGTTTCCTGTGGTTTTCAGTCTAATGCAGCTTTCAAAAATTGCAATCACACGTAAGTCTGACCACAATTAAACTGAGGGAGTTCCTCCACTTGGACTTGTACCCTGTTTACTGCCCCTGCTTTCTACGATATTTTGTCATGTTTGCAGAAATGAAAACTCCTTTGCAGCAGACAAGTTTCTACTGTCTTGCTTCATGGGCTATCCCTGGGAATCCTCCTCTTTCCTTGAGGAAGACTGATATTTCCCAATGACTGCCTGATATACCACTTGTGGTGGAAACAGATTGTTCCCTTTTGGTTGCAAAGTGTTTTATTTCTCCTACTCAGGGCTAGATTTTGTCCTCCTCATTCCCTGAGAGTTCATTACTCCTTGCTTTAAAGTAGTGACAACCACAGCAGCCCTCACTCCTTCAGGTGACCGTGCCAGTAATAATTTCAATCTCTTTTGTTTTCAGGGATTTCAGCGAGTTCAGACGGCAAGGCTGAGGAACATGAAGATAATGGAGATAAGGTAAAACTTCCTCTAAGTTTCAGAAGTGTTTAGCTAGAAGCCAGAAGGACAGCAGGACATGCTAGTGATTTTCAATGTATTCATACTAAAGGGACAGTGTTTGCAAACAGTAGCTTGAACTTTTGTTTAGAAGCTCAGGAACCATCTAGCCATCTTTCCAGTGGACAGAGGCAAAGCCTGTGGCCATCCCATCTGGTTTGGACACTTCAGAAAAGCCTCATCCCCTTGACAGCCCTGTCAGACAGGTAGAGGTAGCACGCTTGGGGTGTGATCGGGCAAAGGGCAACTTAGGAGGGTTGTTACGCTTCCCTGTCTCTGATTAATAGAAGGATGAGGGCAACTAAGCTCCTACTTCAGACACCTTATTAAGAAGTTCATGTTAAGTGGGATGAATCTAGGCTCAAAGGCTTCAGAAGAAGATTTATTACGTACTTAACAGGTAATTCATGTTGTTTATCATGATCAACCTGATGTGTCTTCTCCATACTTTGTACTGGCAAGCTCAGAAAAGTGCTGCAAGCTCCAGCCCAGTGCGGGTATTTCAGAGCTCTTAGCCACTAGGGCAACCAGCTCCTGTGTGCATAGGTCTGAAGTAAACATGCTTCTAAAGCCTTTTCAGTTATTCTCTTCTCCCTTCCAGTTTCCCAGCTATGCCATTCTCATTGCCTGTCTCATAGCGGTGTCCATTGTTCTCATATTGATGCTCTCGTTGTTTTGGAAACGTAAGTATCCCTAAGCACATAATTGATCGATGTTTCTAACGCTGGCCTAGTGCAGATGTCCTTCTGTGTCTCTGGTTAATCTTCTGGTAAATCTGCCATGGCCCCTGTGACAGCACTCTGTTCATTTTATGGGGATTGCTGTCCTTACTCCAGGACTGTGTCACCAGGAGGAGACCAGGGAGCATGAGTTGGTGGGGATGCAGCAGGAGGAAGCCTGTGCAAAGAACCTGTTCACTCACTTGTTGCAGGTCTGGCTTGTCTTGTTGGCTCTTGCTTTATAGTAAAGTGGTTCTGTAGTTTCCTGATATTGCTCCTGACAGACATTTGTGTAACTTAAATCGGAATGAAATCCTTTCTTTCCTGCTTAGCCCACAGAAATTCAGCAACTTGCTATCTTTGCTTCTGAACTCGTTTGACAGATTCATTAGAATTATAGATTGCTTTTTGCCACTGTGACATTAATATTATTTTGCTTCTAGGTAAACACACAAAGAAGTTTATGATAAAAAGGTAATCCATTTTTTAATTTCCTATTAAAAGTTCCAATGTAATTTTTCTTAGAGGCAGGAAGGAATTGGCCACTGATTGTAAAGGGTATAGTATTGGCTTGTGGTGACTACCAAAATTGTATTACGAGCAAGCTTCAGATAACTTCACCCCAGAAAATCAAACAGCGGTTCCTGAATACTGCTTCTATGTGGCAATGAACAGACACCCAGAGCTCTAGAGAACTTTAGCAACTGGTACTTACTGTTATGTGGTGACCCCATCTTAGGGAAATACCTAATCTGCTTTATTCTTTGATCAAATACCAGGGCATGACCCTGATGGGCTTATTTTAAAGAAATTAAGAGATAAATGGTTGTGATGATCAACTGGCAAAATGATTGCTCAGAAAGGGATCAGGGACTTATGGACAGTCCTCCATGGAGTGGCAATTCATGCCAATACACAACGAATGGGCCCCACGAAGGGCACACTGCAGCAGTGTGGCAAGCCAAGCTTTTCACCACTAGATAAACCTTACAGCTCTCGTGGGGCCACTGCACCTCTCACACGCTCCTTGGGTCACACTGAAGTATCTGAGGTGATTGCCGAGGTGATCGTTTTGAGGCAGATATGAAATATGGGAGTATGATGAGTCACCTTGTGCAGATGTAACTGGTAAGTTCATGTCTTCTGGCTTACCTTGAAAAAAGGGATTTTCTTTAGACAAATCATGGGGTAGTCCAGTGAAGTATCATTCCTTTGCCAAAGACCAATAATTTTTCAATGGTAGATGGTCCACCACCGCATACCCCACCTAGGAGATGAGGGTTGGGGGCCAAGGAGGGACTCTTTTCTGAATCCCATGGTGGTTACCCTACACCTGTCATTGTAAGGTCTGAACAGTCCTTTCCTATCCATTAGGAAAATGAAAGCAATTTTTCTCTGGTGTAAAAAGTGGGCATTACACCATTGAAGTCAGTGGACTCAGTAGCTTCTGGTCTCTGTTTCAATGGGAATTTGTCAATGTGACAAATAAGAAAGGATGCTCTGAAGCAGCAATGTGCTTTTGCCCCATCTGTATTGATCTATGATTCTCACTACAGCCTTGGACCAGCGGAAGACCTGGAAAAAGTTTTTAGTGGCACTGAAGGAGAAAACAGCATTTTTTCCCTGTGAAGACCTCTTACGTCATCTGTGGACGTCATGGAAAATATAAAGGACCTGTTTCATGCTGCATTGAGAGATGCTTATGAGCCCTTAAAATATCAATGGGTGAAAACCAAAGGCCAAAGCTTCAACTGTGAAAATTTAAAATCTTTGTGCAAATTTTGCCATGTCACCTTTAAAGCTCATTGCATAAAGAAGCTTCTTTGAGAAGGTGCTTTATACATTATTCATCGGTGTTTCTGGCGTCTGCATTCTTACTAATACCGTGTTACAGTATTGAATTTGGTTTTCTCTTTTACTAAAGCTCTTCCTCGAATACAACTTATACTCTGAGGAACAGAAGAAAGAATAACTAACATGGAATGTTGACTGACTTCAAATTGCCAAAAAAAAAAAAAAGAATAAAAAAATCAGGAAATAAAGTTCTTATTGCTTTTATATAATCAAGAGAAAAATTAAGCCGCAAGAATGCTGTGAGTATAAATCAAAAATGCAGATTACTTAATGGGTACCAATGCTGCCTGTGATTCAGCATGTTTGAATGACCCTTGGAGACTATATTAATAAACTTTGTAATTTACCGCGAGCAATTGTATTTTTTATGCCATATCCTAAGGCATTTGGACAGGAGTTAGTTATTCCCCAGGTGCTGAAATGACTGGTGTGCTGTCTCAGCTCTCCAAAGAAGTAGTGCAGTATTTCCAGAGGTGGGAAAATGCCCAGAAGACCAATCTGCAGGGAAATTTTTCTATCCTGCCCCAACAACCCCCCATCCCACTCATTTGTAAATCCATGTGTCCCCCATCAACGTGCATAGGGGATCCCCAGTGGTTTGTTTGCAGTTGCCTTTTGGTCCTCACGACAATGACCTGCAAAACGCAGCAAGTCTCGTGGTGGAGTCTGCTTGGCAATGCAGACCTGCACCATGCAGCCCCAGGATGCTTCATTTAGGCTCCCAGCACCAGTCACAGGGTAGCATAGTGCTGGCTAGCTGGGTTTTATATGGATGAGACTGGGATGCCCAGTTTCACCAGTGCTGCCTATTTATCTTTTAGAGAAGTTGCAGGTGAGAAGCACAACGCAGAGCAAAGCCACGTCTTGGAAACTTGGTCATCCTTTCAGGTGCCCACGGGAGGTGGGTGAAGCCACCTCCGTGTTTCTGAGCAGTATAGGCAAAAACCCCGTGATCTCCAGGGAAAGGCTGTGGGGACACTAAAAACAGTGAAGAAGAAGAGAGGAAGGGTGGCATTCACCTGCTGCTGCTTCTAGTGGGAACAGAAGGGCTGTGGGGGAGAACATTGCTGCTGCTGGGGACGGAATTTGTCCCCAGTCCTTCTGTGGAGCAACAAGCTGTCCCCACATTCCTACCCCACCCTCAGGGGCACCGGCAGGACCTGCCATCTTGTTCCCAGGGCTTTGGCACCGCAGAGTTGGCAAGCAGGCTGTGGCTGTTCAGCCACGCAGACATATCCCTGTGTTGTGCTTAGAGCTAATCCTGAGGATGGGGGTGGTTTGGACACTGTGGGCTCCACGGGCACGTGTGTGGTTAGTACGGGGCCGCGGGGTGCCTGAGAAGGAGGCAGGGCTGCCAGCAGCACTGCGCAGTCCAGGGAAATCCAAAATCCTCCCTGTTATCCTCGAGTCCTGTAAATGCTGCCCTAATGATAGCTCTGCAGCACTGACCTTGTCTTCTACTCGACGGGGAAAAGTGGAGCCTTCAAATGGCTGCGAGGCAAATCGGCAATGCACGGCAGGGTGAAGCCCCTCATTTCACCACACAAATTGTACCCTTTCTGAGGGGGCTTTTGCCTTCAGCTGGGTTGAGATTTGGGCTTTAGAAACCAGACTGAGTTGGTAACCAGCGTGGGGGCATTAGTGGAGTGGGACTGGCCATGGAAGCTGGGGGATCATCTATGGGCTACACTGCAGAGCTTTTGCGTATCTCATTGGGGTCTTCACTAACTCCACTGTGGTGACTACGGGAACGGCATGGGAGAAGGTTCAAATCCACAACAATGATTATTATCTCCTTTGCCTGGAGTTCACCAGTCCTTGCTTTGGCAACTCTGGGCAACAACAACTTGAAATAAGAGCACATTGTAGAAATAGCATTCAATCAGAAGACAACATTGTGTGGCAGCTCTGGACTTCCCCGCTACTCGTGCTCAGGGCTGTGGTGAGACTTTTTTGACTCTACAGCATCTTCTCACAGGCCATGAATTAGGCGGAGGCAGGGGAGGTTCCTCTTTGCGTTCCCTCTCAATCTCACCGGGGTTCAGCGCCCTGCTGTGCACCCTGGTCTAGCCACGTTGGGGGAGGCAGAAGAAAGTCCCCAAGTGGAGGATGTGGCCTGCAGGCTCCCAGGTTGGGTTTGCTCAGCTGAGACCCGTGTCTGTCCCGTGCTGGTTAATGCGGCTGCTGCCACCCCAACACACAGCATGTGCTGAGCCCGGGGCCTGGCGCCTGACACTGCTTCTGGGCATCAAACCCACACAAATCTGTAAGGAATAAAAAGGGAAAAATTACCCAAACAGTTTTGATGTACCCCTTTAAAAGAAAAAAAAAAGCTTTCCCCCCCTCTTCCCTCCCAAGTAAAGCTGCTAATTAAGCCAGCAATATCTTAACTGCAGCTTCCAATTGGCAGGGCTGGGCCAATCCTTTTGCTCTTATTAGTTAGCTCTCCACTAATGACTTCCTTAGAGCAGGGCTGTCTCTTGCTGGGGAAGGTTCTAGCACATTTGCTGTGGTGCTGGCTGGACTTGAAGGCCCTGCTTTGGGGAGCTGCGCAAGGGCAGAAGAAATAGGAGCCAACAAAGTGAGTTTGATCTGGTCAGCCATGTGGAAACGCAGCCCAGAAATGCTGGAGGGAAGCTCTAAGTGTAACTTATGTCACTGAGCTTTTTTTGTATATCTTTTTATCCACCCCAATTACTGAGGCTGAGGTTTGGGTTTAGAGTGGCGATTGGAAGCAAGGAATGTGGGTTATATTTAAATGAAAACACATTGAAGTAATTTCAGAGGAACTGACCCTGGCTGTCAGCGTGTTCAGAGAAAAGTTAAAGGGAGCCTTTTAAAATGTAGCTGGAAGAAAAAGAAGTGCTGTTTTCCAAAAGCAACAGAAGGCCCACAATGCAGTTTCTAGGTCTAGTGAAGAAAAACTGGATGAAAGCAGCAGGTTTTTAGAAAGAAAAGACTGTCAGAGAGTATGTCATTGGCATTGGGAAATGTTAGTCTTTATTTTTAAGACTTTTGCCTCGGAAGGCAAAGAAGAAGTGCACTTGAGTAAACATAAAACACTGCAGCCCAGAAACCCCTCCAATAAGCAGCTTAAAGCAATACACAGCGTTTTAGCTGCAAAACCTTACAGGGACCAGTGCTTCAGCCTGGGGAAACTTGGACAAAAGGCAGCCGGGCCCCTGGCAGCGCCGCAGGGCTCGTGCTGGTGTGTTGTGGGGTGCGGGTTTCCTCGAGAGTTGTTGGCCGTTGACCTTGCTGTAGATCCTGCAAGATCTGCCCACATGTGCCTTCACCCTGCCCTCGCTGGCCTCCTGTACCTCCCCGAGAGCTGCCAACGGGTAAAGCCGTTGGCTTTAAGGCTGCCGTGCATGTCCTCAAAAATTCCAGTTCCCCCCAGACCTTGTCTCTCACCCTGCCAAACGCTAAGACCCGAAATCACCCAGGTTTAACACCCCCCCCAGTGCCTGCTGAAGTTACCGCAGCGTTTATGGGCTTGCACTGGGAGCCTGTGGGTAGAGCAAAGCGGGTTTTAATTTGTTCAGAGTCCATGTCAAGCCTAAATGGTGTTATATCTGGGGAGGCTGGCTCTGCTCCATGGAGCAAGGCGGTTAATTAATGAAGGATTTAGCTTTTGGTGCAAGTGATAATTTTTACTGGACTCTGGTACTTTGTGGACAATTGTCTGTATCAAAATGACCGATGAAATTGGGTAAAGGAGGTCTGACGTGAAGAGATAATGACTGAACTACCCGATTAGGATGGAGGAGGTACAGAAAAGCAATTAAAAAAGGGGATCTGAATATTTTGAGAAGTGGGATTGGCTAATGAGAAAACAGGAGGAAATACTGAAAAAAAAAAAGCAAGTGCTGACTTAGGAATACAAATCCTTTAAAGAGAAACCAGAGGAATGAATTAAATGTCATTTTGAGATTAATAAGAGACCTCTCTTAATAGACTTTATTGGAGCTGACTGCTCTGATGCTCTCTTTCCATCTCAGCAGCACATTTCATTATGTTTCCAGGTTTGTTTCTTAGCCTTAATGTGCTTTTCTAGGCATTTTTTAAGGTTAATATAAATAAATCTCTGGGTTCCAAAGGTGGAATTTAATTGGAGCTTAAGAAAGAGCAAGCAGAAGGGAAGAATGTGGCTGAGTACATAGGAAATTAGAAAGAAGAATAAATAGCATCATGGGACTTGGGGAAAGAGCAGAGATAACCGCACAGTGTGAGATGAATGCATGAAAAAGTGGAAAATTTTAGCCTGGTAGAAAGAGGAAATAGGACGTGTTGCCGCAGATGTGACAGCAGATGGCAAAATTGAGCTACAGAGACAGTGCAGAGAAACAGCTGGAGAGAGTAGAAGAGGCTGTAAAGGTGATGCAGATTTGCTGCCACCAAGCAGAATAAATGCAGTCTCCTCCAGTAGCAATGGAGGTCCTGGCCAGCAACTCTGCTCATGGCTGGCTCCAAGGCACGCTTTCGGCATGCTTGGCCCAGGCTCCAGCTTATGTGTCCTCTAGCAACACAATTTCCTGCCAGTCTCTGTAATGCCCTGGTTTTCTTCTGCTCCTGAGGCTGCGATGGCCATGCACTTCTTGGTTTCCTCTTCCCGCTGGTGTCTCAGCCCAGCTGTGAGCAGCATGGCTTTGGTTTCTGTTGCTAATTTAAAACATAAAACCTATGACTCAGCACTTCCTGCAATCACACTGTAGCAGCAGTGACCTGGCAAAAGAAATGTCAGCCTCTAACCATCCCATAGCTCACCTCAGCAT